AGCAACAGAGAGTGAGAGAGCATGTATGTGAGAGAGAGAGCAAGAGAGGGAGAATGTGTGAGAGAGAGAGTGAGAGAGTGTGTGTGAGAGAAAGAGAGAGAGTGTGAGTGAGAGCGAATGAGAGAGAGAGCGTGTGTGTGAGAGAGAGAGAGTGAGAGAGAGAGAGAGTGTGTGAGAGAGAGAGCAACAGAGAGTGAGAGAGCGTGTATGTGAGAGAGAGAGCAAGAGAGAGAGAGAGCGTGTATGTGAGAGAGAAAGCAAGAGAGAGACAGTGTGTGAGAGAGAGAGTGAGAGTGAGAGAGACAGAGAACAAGAGAGAGAGAAAGAGAGATAGCGAGAGAGAGTGAGAGAGAGAGAGCTAGAGAGAACGAGAGGGAGAGAGAGAGAGAGGCAGAGTGAGAGAGAGAGAGAGCAAGAGAGAGAGCGCGAGAGAGATAGCGAGAGAGAGAGCTAGACAGAGATTGAAAGAGAGAGAGAGCGAGAGAGCTAGAGAGAGAGCGAGAGACAGCAAGCCAGAGAGAGAGAGCGAGAGAGACAGCGAGAGTGGAGAGAGAGAGAGCGAGAGTGAGAAAGATCGAGTGAGAGAGCGAGAGAGAGTGACAGAGAGAGAGAGCGAGGAAATGTGCAGGTGACAATCAGGGGAGGCAACGGCTTTGTAGTATTATCGCTGGACTGTGAATCCAGAGAGCCAGGTTCAAATCCTGCCACAGCACGTGGCGGAACTTGAATTCAATAAAAATGTGGAAATAAGGTTCTAATGAAGACCATGAATCCATTGCCGACTGTCGGAAAAATCCATCTTGTTCACTAATGCCCTTTATGGAAAGAAACTGCCATCCCTACCTTTGTGACCCCCAGAGCAATGTGGGTTGACTCCTAACTGCCTCCTGGGCAATTAGAGATGGGAAAATCAGTGACGGCCATGTTGTCTCAATGAATTAAGATGGTGGTGAAAAACAAACAGGGGAGTGGGGACAGACGTATGGATTAGTACAGAGAGGGTACGTACACAATCACTCAGATACAGGGAGGGTGTTAGAAACTGTTCTCTATGCTGCAGAACATTCACAGTTCACAAAGTGTGGGGAGTAATGGATAAAAACAGAGGACAGTGAGAGTGACAGTGAAGGAGCAGGGAGTGACAGTGCAAGGGGCAGTGAGAGTGACAGTGCAAGGGGCAGTGAGAGTGACAGTGAAGGAGCAGGGGAGAGTGACAGTGAAGGAGCAGGGAGTAACTGCGTGAGACAGTGAGACTGATAGTGAGTGGGACAGTGTAAGGTGCAGTTAGAGTGAGAGTGACAGTGAATGGGACAGTGCAAGGGGTAGTTAGAGTGAGAGTGACAGTGAGTGGGACAGTGCAAGGGGTAGTTAGAGTGAGAGTGAGTGAGTGGGACAGTGCAAGGGGTAGTTAGAGTGAGAGTGAGTGAGTGGGACAGTGTAAGGGGTAGTTAGAGTGACAGTGAGTGAGTGGGACAGTGTAAGGGGTAGTTAGAGTGAGAGTGAGTGAGTGGGACAGTGCAAGGGGTAGTTAGAGTGAGAGTGACAGTGTGTGGG